AGTTATACTAGTGCCCCAGTAGCTTTTTGTTATCATTCATTTAATATCACTTAAACAATGTCAGGAAGGATCCTAAGATAGGCATAATGGGAAATCAAATCATTTTCGGAATCCTGCATATTTCCATATTTTGAAAAAGTTTTTTAATGAGGTTGCAAAATATTCATGCTTAGTAGGATGCGTATTAGTTAAGGACCTATTCAGATGATCGTTAAAAAAATTTTAATTTGTATTGGTCATCTCAACTTTAGTTAAGCTTAGATACGCATAATATTATTATATAGTTTATGGGCTTAATAAAATACAAAAATGCATAGCTTATAGCAGCAGCACTCATAAATCTTTGATTGTTTGTGCTTTTAAATCTCCGAAGGCTAGTAATATTGTACTCCGCGGTCCGCTAGAATCACCCATCCTTACTGAACATGCAATGGATTCGCTTCTGGTTAAATCATATAACGATGTGCATGATGAAGACTGTGATGTATTTCGCATTTATATCTTATTTTAGTTTCAATCAAAGTCCATAGCCCAAAAACTTAGCGAAAGTGACATAGAAATAGCCGCTATGGATTTATCTAAACTAGCAGAAGATAGTCAAGGACTTTCAAAAGCAGAAAAATCACGAAAAACATCTTTTGGTGTTTTATCAACTTACAATTATGATACAAATTTTCTAAGTCCATCTTCTGAGCCTAGGCTTTCTGTAACGATTCAGGAAAAAATTGTTCAACAGTTTAAGTCAAATTCTAATGTTCATCCATGCCGAATTCTGTCCTCACCGCTCTTTACACAAGCAACCGAAAGCCAAAAGCGCCTTGTAAGCCAGTTAGATAAAAGGCAAGAAACAAGCAACGCAAATTTTTTCGGACTCCCAAATCGAGTAATGACATTACTTTCAGAGTATCGAGGCATAGATCGTTTATATGGTAAATCTATCTGAATTTTATTTCCAAAGAATGGCAGCGTGAATGTTTAAATTTGTTTTCAGATGGTAAAAGAACTAATCTTGTCTATAGCTTGCCTACGAGTGGTGGAAAAACACTTGTTGCGGAAATACTAATGTTCCAAGAACTCTTAATAGGTCAAAAGGATGTTCTTTTTATTCTTCCATTTGTGTCCATTGTCCAGGAAAAAGTCCGTTCTCTAAATCCGCTAGGGCTAGAGCTTGGCTTTCTTGTTGAAGAGTATGCTGGGAATCGTGGACGCTTTCCTCTTGTGAAACGCCAGTCGCGGCGATCTGTTTATATTGCTACAATAGAGAAGGCACTCAAAGTTATCCATCATCTTATAGTCTCTTCAAATCTATCAAGTATCGGTCTTGTCATTGTTGATGAGGTAATTTGTCTACTTAGCTCTCAACATACTAGTTACATATGATTGGCGATGGTGGAGTACGTGGAGCCACTATAGAACTAGCCCTGACCTATCTTCGAATTGCATCCCGTAAGCTATTTTCTTTCCTTTATATTTTATTAGCCATCATATCTTAATATTATTTAATTTCAGCTGAAACTAGGATAATTGGAATGAGTGCTACTCTGTCGAATATATCCGATTTAACTACGTTTCTATCTGCAAAACTTTACACGAATGATTTTAGACCGATAGAGTTGATCGAATACGTAAAGATTAATGACCACATATTTCGCTTAAAACCAGAAATCCAACATCGTGAGTTTACTTGCGAAGATGATTACTACGAATATCTTGAAAATCGTTTGGAACACATTAGAATCGTTCATTTTAAAGTAAGTTATCATTT